CCAAAGCTCCATCCCCCAGCGCGTGATCAGCGGCACATCCCTCGCCGCCGTTGTGGCCACGGGCTCCACCGCGGGCGCGGTGTACCTCGGCTCGGGCCTGGTGGACGCCACCAGCGCCCTGCTCATCGCCGGCGGCGCCGTGCTCACCGCCCCGCTGGGGGCGCGCTACACAGCGCGCCTCAACTGTGAGGTGCGACGCGGCGAGGCGCTGCGCGGCGGTGCCCGCCTTGCGTGCGCCGATCCTACACCACTGCATGCGACCGGCTGTTCTCGACAGCGGCGGTAGCCAGCGGCTGTGCCGCTCGTGATGAGTGCCGTGCAGGCTCGCGAGCCTGCAACCGCCCTCCCTCTCACCAGCAGCCGCTGCGTGGCCCTCTGACCGCAGGCGCTGCGCAAGGCCCTGGGCTGGTGGCTGATCGGCGTCGCACCCCTGGTGCCCGCGAAGGCCCTCTTCTTCTCCTCACCAGACGTGACCGCTGAGCCGGCGCCGGCCGATGCGCAGCTGAGCCCAGTCCCTGGGGCCGTTGGCATTGTCGGCAGCGCCCCAGAGGCGGGGGCCGTTGCGGTGGCGGCGCTGGCCCCTGCAGCGGCCGGCAGCGAGCCGGCAACGGCCGCGAGGGAGCTGGCGCTGCGGCCGCTGCGGCCGGCGGATGCGCTGACCGCGGCCACCGGCTGCTTGGCAGGTGGGCGGGTGCCAGTGGAATCCATCGTCTGACTCGCGGCTAGAGCTGGGAGCATGCGCCAGAATGCCGCTCAAAGCAGCGATGAGATCCCAGAGACCTGGGATGCCCCTGTATATGCACCGACCCAATGCAGTCGGCCCCGACCAGCATGCCGTGATTGGTTAATCCTCCCCTAAATGCGCGCGCCTGGTGCCGCCAGGCTTTGCGAGTGGCCTGCTGGGCATCGGCGGCGGCACGGTTGTGACCCCAGCGCTGGCTGTTGTCACCGGCATGCCACAGGTGGGGCAGTCACAGGATCGTGTGGGCATGCGTGCTGGCGGAGACTGGTAATCTCCTGCCACTGCTGCCCCAGAACAGCCGCGCGAGCCCTAGTCACCATGGCACAGGGCCATGACGGTTTGGTCAGTGGCCTGTCCACCCGAGGCTGAAGCCGCCCGGCACTCAGGCTGGCCCCATCAAAACTCATGCCGTGAACGTTACCAATTTCTTCGCTCGCATCGCCCCTGCGCAGACGGTCGTGCTGGGCACCAGCCTGGTGGCCATGATTCCCCCCTCAGTGGTGGGCCTGCTGCAGCACAGCCGCCTGGGCAACGTCGACTGGCGCATGGGCGCGATGCTGGCCGTCGGCACGAGCTGCGGCAGCTATATCGGCAGCCAAGCCGCGCTCGCGGCGCCGCCAGGCGTGCTGGAGGCGGTGTTTGCGGTTGGGATGGTGTTTCTGGGGCGCAAGACGCTCGGCGCCGCCGCGAAGGCGGCGCGGGCCGCAAAGGACGCCGCGGCGGCAAGGGCGGCGGCGGCCGCGAATGGCGCCGCCAGGGTGCCTGGGCCTTGAAGACCGTGTAATGCCATGCAAGCGGCTGGCAGTACAAGCAGTCGTCTCACAGCTGATGTTATGCTTGCATTTGGGTTTCATGAGGCGAAAGCATGGGTCAAGCAACAAGCAGCAGACCAAGGGTTGCAGTCAAAATCTTGCATAAATTTATGCAAACTTTGTGGGGTGGGCGTCGTCTCAAAAGGGGTGTTGTATTGAAAAACCCCTGTCTCGAAAAACCCAGCCGGGGCCCGATTTGCGGCGCCTATGCTTGCCCCGTCAGCCATCACTGCCGCTCGGCGGCGCGGGGCTCCACGGTGACGTCGCACCGCAGGTCCTCCTGTATCACCCTAAACAACAGATCAATGTTTGGATGCGACCCCGGCTGCTGCCTGGCCTCCTCTGTGAACTCTCCATAGAGCCGCAGCCCCTCCTCAGCCGCCGCAGACGTGAGCACGCCGCCGTGCTGCGCAGCCAGGTGCGCGTAGATCCGCGCGCTGGCCGCCTTGCCCGGGGCGTTGGGGATGGCCCAGTCGGCGCCGTGCGGAAGTCGGACGGACACGGCGTTGATCGAGTCGATGGGCGCAAGCGTGGAGAGGTTCTCCTGCGGGTGTGGGATAAAGAGAGTTTGGGGGGGGGGGAGCAAGGCTGCTGCGGCTGCTCGCGGAACAGCCATCACAGCAACGTGTGCTCTTTTGCTGGGGGCTTCCAGGCTGTGCTGAGGGCTTCTGATTAAAGGTATGTTGTGGAAGGTTGTTTTCTGGCGCTCTTGTGGCTCCATGCTAGGGCAGTGCAGCGCTGCGGCCAATTTGACTGCACCTTCAGGCCGCGTGCGCAGGCGCTGCGGCGGATGCCCATGACGCCTGGCGCCATGCGAGGTGCGCCGACGGCTGTGATTGAAGCTCTGCGTGCCAACATTCCTGTGCTGTTCATGGTCGATGATAATAAGCTTGTGCGACAAGCTCGAGATCTCTCGTCACTGATCTGCGGGCTAATGAGCCGGCGATTTCGACTTGTTATCGTATGTACGTGTCCGAAGCTGGCTATTGTCGCGAATCAAGCCTGATGATGATTAATGATGCTGTGCTTCAGGACTTCCGCTCCATCATGCGTGCATGCACACAACAGCGTGGACTTCTCAGTGCAGCACAGTGGTACCGTCCGCCCTTATGATAGTGAGGAGTGTGATGTGCCCTTGCAGCACAAGTGCTTGTCTTCCTGCAATCGGGTGACAGGGCGTGAGCAACACAAGAATCAGACCCCTCTACACCGCCCCTGTGGGCCAGTCCACAACTGGCGCGGTCAAATCAACATCTCGATCAGAGTGGCCCCTGCACTACCCCTCGTGGATGCTTGTGGACGCAATTGGGGGCGCCGCTGTGCCCCCAACTCGCATGAATGGGCGCAGAGCAGCTGTGCACTTGCAGGCGTTGGGCAGCGCTGCGCTCATGGGCACTGGGCGGCCCTGCACCTGTGCGCATCGCAATCATCGCCACGATGCTTGCTGAATGTAGTAGCGTCGCTGCTTAGGCGCATCCATTCCACGCCTGTCCGCAAAGAGCAGCAGTGCACTCCAATTGACGGCCTTTTAGTACATGCTTACAACATAAACCGCAGCTGACACATCAGTTGCAGGACAGTTGCTTGATTCCCCACATACCTTATGTGCGGCCCACAAGAATTCAAGAAAGTAAATACGTTTGCATTGCAACGTGCAGGAAATGCAAGCAGCGTTTGATATCCCCACCCATTGCAGCAGAACAGTGCCGCTGAACCAGCCGCACACCAAAAGACACACTACTGCACATCCCCAGCCCCCGCCTTCGCGAACACGCCGCCTGTCCCGCCGCCTGCTGTGAACGCGATCGGCAGCGCACCCCTCAGGCCTGCCAGCTCAGCTTGAAGCGCCGCCATTTCTGACTGCATTGCCGCCACCAGCGCCTCCCTCCGCGCGCCCGCCCACGCGCCGCAGCCGGCCCTGCACGGCCCATGCGCGGCCCCGCGTGCGCACGTTGAGCATGCGGCCACGCCGCCGGCGCCGGCCTCGCAGCGGCACGCGCTGTCGGGCGCGCAGGGCGTGACGTCCTGCAGGGCGGCTGCGCGCAGCATCTTCTCTTCCAACCGCCCCAACCGCCGCTGCACGTCGTGGAGGCGCCCCCGCACTGCGTGCTTGTCTGGCGAGCGTGCACGCTGCTGCGGCTTCTCGGCAGCTGCCGCGGCCCTGGCGCAGTCGCTTCCAACATCATTGCTGTGGCCGGGCAACCACACGGCGGGGATAAGAGCGCCCTGCCAGCTGCAATCTGTGGTGTCATCACCCCATTCCCCCTCATCTCTGGGCACTGCGGTCTTTGACTTGGCGGCCTTTGCGCTCCTCTGAGGCATCGCCGGGCTCGGCGCTCCCGCCCCTGCCACCCCGCCGCTGCCGCCGACTCCGCGCCTTGGCGGCTGGCCAGGGGTCGCAGTGTCGCGGTGCTGCGCCACGCCGTCGGAGGGCAACGGGCCACCGGAGCAGGCGCCAGGACTGCTGGCGTTGACCGCAGCTGCGTTGCAGATCACTTGCTCCATGGACTCCACCACACCGTGCACCTGCTGGAGCGCCTGCTGCAGCTGTGATAGCCCGCTTGGCTGAGCGTCCCCTTGTATCGCAAACTCCGCCTTCCGCAGCCCCTGCACCCGCACGTCTGCGTCCCGCCCGCGCGGCAGCCGCTGCTGGTCGTAGCGGATCGCGGGCTGCGGGCGTGCGGCGCCCGCAGCGCTGCTGCCGCTGCCGGCCGCGAGCCAGGGGCGCGGCGGCAGCGCAGGCTGCGCGGGGCGCCGCGCGGCGTTGCCGCCTGCTGCTGGCGACGGCCGCGGCCGCGGCCGCGTGAGGCGGGGCTGCGGCCCACTGTCACTCGCTGCTGCTGTAGCGCACCCGCTTGGCTTGTTGGCGCCCCGCCGGCGTGGTGGCGACACTGTCAGCCGTATGCGACCCATCAGCTTGATCGCCGCATCTTCATCTTCCTCTTGACCACCACTCAACCGTGGCGACTCGCTGCCCTGCAAGCCTGCCGAGAGCCGCTGCACGCCCAGCAGGCCCCTGGGCGAGCGCTCACCCGACTGCCGAGCCATGCGCACGTTGCTGCCTATTGGGCGGTTAGCGCCTGCGCTGCTGCTGTCAGCCCTGTCAAAGACGGCAATGTCGCAGCCGCCCCCAGCGCCAAGCCTGAAATCACTCGGGAGGCAGTGAAGGGCTGCGGCAGGCGGCGTTGCAGAGCCTCCCCACTCATCTTCCTGCATGCTGGCTCTCCTCTGACGCCGCTCTGCGAGTGAGGGGTTCAGGGGAATCGAGCCATTGAAATATGAGCGGGCTGATCTCGCAGGAATCTCGACCTTAGTGCTACTTGGGGAGTCTGACATCCTGACACCATCAACCCGGTCCCGCTCACCCGCCCTCGCCACCATGTGCATGGTGCTCACCTGTGGCGTAGCCCCACCACGCCAGCAGGGCGCGCTGCATGCGGCTGCCCTCCTGCTGCCTGGTCTGCCGCCTCAACGCCGCCTCAGGGCCGCCGCTGCATGGGCCGTACCCGCTGATGCTCCCGCTGACAGACCCGAGGGGCACTTCTGAACCAGCTGCCCTGTTTGAGGGAGGGTACGCGTTGGAGCTGTCCAGGACAACGGGAGCCGCGGCACCCGCGATGGCGCTTGTGCTGCCGGTGGCTTGGCAGACACGTGGCTTTGAGTTGGGTGGCGGTCGCAGGCGGATGCTGCTCAGCTGGGGTGGTGCATGCTGCTGGTTAGACCAGTGCTGGTGCTGGTGCTGGTGCTGGTGCTGCTGCTGCTGCTGGTGCTGCTGCTGCTGTTGTTGCTGCTGCTTCTGCTGCTGCTGCTGTCCCACCTGATATTGCTGCTGCTGCCGCTGCTGCCCCACGTTCTGCTGCTGTCCCATTTGCTGCCTCCGCTGCTGCTGCTGCTGCAGTGCCTGAACAATGGCAGCGTCCAAATCTGGGATGTCGCGCCCCTGCAACGACACCCTGCGGCTTGCGGCAGCGCTGCCAGCACCTGACTCTGGAGGGGACAGCAGTGCGCCCGCGCGGCTGGGCGACGGCTGCGGCGATGGCATCGGCCTGGACACACGCGGCCGCGGCGGCAGCGCGTCTGGTGCCCAATGCGCCGCTGCTGCGCGCGATGGGCCGGGTTGCGCTGGGCTGCGTGGGGACGCCGGGGCATAACGCGGCAACGCGTGCGCACTGCCAGTGCTTGCAACGTTCGTCCCCGTGGCGCCCTGCAGGCCGCGCGGCGAAGCGGCTTTTGACCCCAGTCCAGCTGCATCATGTAAGCTGGGGATGGCTGCGTGCGCATGTTGGTTGCCAAAACCAGCAGCTGAAAGCTCAAGAACACGCTCCTCACTCTCCGCTGTGAGCCAGGGCCCTGCAGACGGCCGCAGGCTGGCGTCGCTGCTGTCGCTGGGGCTCCTCAGCAGCAGCGCCTCCATGCTCGGGTATGCTTGAGCCGCCGGCTGCTGCTCTGCTCGCTGCGCCTCCACGGCCCGCGCGTGCTCGTCCCAAGCTGGCGCTTGGAGCTGCTGGTGCCGCCCCTGCTGCTGCGATTCGTGCTGCAGCACCTGCTGCTGCTGCTGCTGCTGCTGCTGCTGCTGCTGCTGCTGCTGCTGCTGTTGCTGCTGCTGCTGTTGCTGCTGCTGCTGCTGCTCGTCCTGCTGCGCTGCCGCACCATTTGAGACCTCCGTGGACTGAGGCACCTCTGGCCAAGCCGGCAGCCTGGAGCTGGTGCTGCCTGTGCCATTCTCACCACCGCGACCGCCACTGCCACGGTCAGCCGTAATCTCGCCCGATGGAGTAGAGGGATGCCCTGCGAGTGCCGCAGTCGAGGCAGCACGTGCCGCGTCTGAACTTGCAGTAGCGCGCTGGCCTGTGGGTGCGGCGCCGCCCGTGGGCATGGACCATGCTGAGTCAGCGATAGACCGCAGGCTGCCAGACCGCGAGCTCACGCCACTGATGCCGCTCGCATGGGCGCCGCCGCTTGCCGCCAGGGGCTGCGCACCTCCGCTGCTGCCCGCGATGCCGTCGCCGCCGCCACCGCCATCGCCGAGGTTTGAAAAACAGACCCCCACAAAGCCGACGGTGATATCGTTGCTGATTGCGGGTAACATCTCGCGTTCCCAACAGACCGCCGGCTGGGCACGTGGCTTCACATTGGACGACCATGGCCCTGCCGTGCCGGCCTTGCATGTAGCCAGCGCGCCGCTGCTGCTGCCAACATCCCAGGTGCTTTTGCTGTCGCAACGTGGCGCAGCCGTACGCCGTGAGACGCAGGGCGATGCAAAGACTGGGTGCTCCAGCTGCTGCTGCTGCTGCTGCTGCTGCTGCTGCTGCTGCTGCTGCTGCTGCTGCTGCTGCTGCTGCTGCTGCTGGTGGTGGTGGTGGTGCTGCTGCTGGTGCTGCTGCTGAAGCGGCTGAGGCTGGGGCTGCTGCTCTTTCTCCTGCTGCTGGCGGCACAACTGCTGCTGCTGGGATTCATGAGACTCAATCTCCCTGTGCAGCTGCTGCTGGCCGGATCGCTGCTGCCCCTCGTCTGCCTTCAGGGGCAGCGAATGCGAAGTGCTGCGCTCAAGGCAAGTCTCTGTGCTGCCAGTCTTGGAATAACAGCTTGCCGGAAGCGACTGCTGGCCTGCTGGCATGAGCAAGAGCGGGCAGGGTACCAGCGCCAAATCGCTGCTCTGAGCCACAGCCTCAAGCGATCGCCCAAAGCTGCCGTCATCTGCCTGTGATTTGCTGCTGCAACCGGTTGCCGGAGCCGCAACGCCCCAGCAGCACGGCAGCTGCCCGCACACTGCCTGCTGACCTGCCAGGGGGAGGCTTGAGGGGCCGACGGCAAGCCCTTCATGTGACGGTGTCACCACTCCCATGAACGCCGATTGAAGCAAGCCGCTTGCAACTTTGCGGGCGCCTGCCCCGCAGCACGCGGCCATTTGCGAGTTCTCCAGTTCGGCACTCGCGCGGCACGCGCAGCACACGAGCCGCTGTTGGTGCTGCTGCTGCTGCTGCTCCTGCTGCTGCTGTTGGTGCTGCTGCTGCTG